CGCCGCCGCCGCTACTGCTGCCGCCGCCGCCGCTACTGCCGCCACCGCCGCTGCCGCCGCCGCTACTGCCTCCGCCGCTACTGCCGCCGCCGTCGCCGCTACTGCTACTGCTACTGCTATTGCTGTTATATCCAAAAAAAGAACAGTGATTTCTAAAACTGTCTTTTATTACCACAAGCCAACAAGAGATTCACTAATACAAGCCAGGTCGAACAATACTCAGGGAGATATACCGGGGACGTTGCGATATTCACTGATTCGCTGCAGGAAAAGTCCGAGTTCGTAGCCGTTCTGTAATACGCTTTACTTGACACTATACACACGCGAGGCCGGCACTTCACACGCACTGGCTACCACTCGCCGGGCACCTCTCTTATAGCCCGCCTGGGCTGAAGGTCCGCCGGCCAGCTGCCCGATAAGGGTGGGTTCTCTGGTTCCGGGACTTGGCCGAGCGTGACGGTGCTGCGGCGTTAGTAATCGGCATCCTCTCTTGAGCGGCGCCGGAACCACTTTCCGGCTGCAACTTCAAAGGTGCTAGTTCGACCATATCAATTGCTAGTAGTAGTAGAAGTAGCAGCAGTAGCAGCAGTATGAGTTAGCAACAATAGCAGCAGCAGCAGCAGCAGTAGTAGTAGTAGTAGTAGTAGTAGTAATAGTAGTAGTAATAGTAGTAGTAATAGTAGTAGTAATAGTAGTAGTAGTAATAGTAGTAGTAGTAGTAGTAGTAGTAGTAATAGTAGTAGTAGTAATAGTAGTAGTGGTCTTGATGCAAATAATATGAAAAAAGTTGCTGTCCGTATCGCTAGACGTGCACGTATTATGCAAATATTTTATGGCGGGCAGCCATTCCTTGGAGCCTTGCTATCATATGGGGACAGTGTGCCGTTAGCAGTGTCGTCCAGAGTATACGATTACAGTCGGTAGGCGCATAATGAGACTAGAGAGAACAACATAATGAAATATTTGCATTTTTCAGTCAAAATAGAAACTTTCATGTTCTGGATTTTTTCCTATATTGTAATATAATTTGTAGGACTTATCTCTCAATATTCCAAAGACAATTCCATACGATAGTTCCAATTATAATTAGTCCGCATTCTCATGTCAGACGTTGTTGCACGAATCCAGGATGGTCCATAAGGGGTCCCTATTTCTCGGAAGCAAGACCTCAGTGACGTCACCTCGTGCCGCAGCGATAAGCTCTCGCCGCCGTGCAGACATCGACTCGTTCAGTGCACCTGCTGCAGCCGACTGATCCGTACCTTTCCGAGCGCCCCCATGGCGGTGCCGGTGTTCTACCATATGTCCGAAAGCGGGAAGTCGCGCGCCGCCCTCGCCGTGGCGCGGCTTTTGGGCGTCCGCTTGCAGGTGCGCGAAGTCGACCTCTTCGACAAGGCGCTGCTACCGGCGGACTTCGTCGCTGCCAATCCCCGGTGCACTGTTCCCACGCTAAACGACGATGGGTTTGTCATCACCAACAGGTGAACATGCATCACTATTAGGGCTGCGTCAGGTTGTTGATGGGTATAGAAAGTTTTCTAGTTGTTGTTGTTGTTCATGTTTTTCGTTGTAATATTTTTCAGTAGACTAGAAAACAAACAAAAAATGCGAACTCATAAAAAAGTAATGTGATTTGAGAGCACTGTTTGTACACAAATCTTATAGAGAACAATTTAATGGCAGACTTCAGATATAATTTAAGAAAAAAATCATCAGATTTTGTTAAGATTAACAATTGAAATGTAAAAATTCTTATTACTGTATTATAATGTTTATGAAGGGGTACAATTACGTCCATGTCACATTAAACCATGTTACGCGTTCGCATGTGATTGTCGTAGCTGACGTAATGAATCTTATGAATGAACTGTATTATGAAAATTTACATATGAATAATCGATGGTTGTATGACTGACTACAGAAACAAGTCAATTCCATATTGCTGACACCTTATATTTTCTTTAATATTAATTTTTTCCTGAAAATATAAATGACAAAGGTCATCTCACGGATGCTTTAGAATTTATCCGACATTTCCAAAGCACCTGGAAAAAGTAAACTCGGGCATTTTAGCACCCCAACTCCCGAGAATGGGTTGTCAGATATGTTGAAAGTTGAGTTCCAATATTAAGTTATTGTCATTTTTAAAAAATGATAATTTAAAAACTGTGATATTTTGATTTTTGAAAAATATTTTGGTCCCTTATATTACATTTTCGCTCTTCGGGGTACTCTCGTTATTCATAATTTTCTGTTTCATTTGTCAGAGAAGCGACAGAATTGTCCACTGTCGCAAGGTTTAAAAATACATTTCGTATAAAAAATACGTTGTTTAGAAATTATTCCTTAACTACTATTCCGTAATTTTGGTAATATCAATTAAAATCAATTTCTTAATGTCCCGTTTAATTTCTAGATAAACATATGGGGAAAAATTGGGAAGCACGGTGGAGTACATGCAGAGAAAATTCGGGAAACGTGCTAAAAATATGAAAGACATATGTGAAAGAAGGGGCAGTCGAGTCCCTTGTTATGTTTCTCAAGAAATGTTTTACAAAATGAGAGCAGTTGAAATCTATTTCATGTAAAATTAGAATATACAGCACACAAAATTAAATTGAAGAAATAAAGACATAAATAATATTCTGCGATAAAATTAAATTGCCAATTTGAATCTCTTTGGAAATTAATTTCAACGCTCAGCGGTATTAAACTAATTACTCGCGCACTCTACGGAACCTAAAATTTCGTAATACACTGGTTTGACACACTCGGTCTGAAGGAAAATACGTGACTCAGAATTGCGTTAATAAAAAGCGTCGGATTATGCGTTCACAAGTAAACGATTTTTTACAGTTGTTAATAAAGGGTGAGTACACGGTGTATGATATGTACGAGTATGTAATATATATCTTGCACCGTGGTGAGCATCGTGAACCCCATCACTGTGAAATGTTATCTTCCGCCAGACATGTACTGATAAGCATCTTTTAATGCTCCATTATTCGTTTTCACAAGTGATTTATAATGTTCTGATACCGTCAATCAACATACTATTTAAGAATTGATATAAATCGATAAGCAGTTGTCCGAATGAATTGTCATCAAACGTATTTAGCGGACAGCTCATAAACACCGAATTAGAACGGACGATGTTTAGTTTCATCGCGGTTTTAATTAAGCTCGCAATAGATTGAATTTTAATAAAATAATAATACTATTACTAATATTTCTTAAAAAAGGACGTTTTCAAGTGTACTGTCCTTACATTCTCGTTACGCAAATACATTAATTTGCTGCAAACATTCTCGAGTAAGCGGATTTCAAGATTAGTTGGGAGTACAACAGCCCCAACACATGTTAGACAAAGATTTTGTAATGAATGCGAAACATTTCTACGTGTTGCTCGCCGACCACGTCCCCCAATTAAGTTTGGTGTGAATGAATGTGAAAACCGGCTACGTGCCTGCGCAGACTATACTCTTAGAAGTAGCTAATAATTCCCTTTAGGTTGACGCTACTGCGTGGTGAAAAGCGCTGCACTTAGAGCCGAAAATCGTGCCACTTGCACATTCCGACACCGCCGATTCGCTTGCTTTACGTCGTAGATTCCTAACGGGGGAGATACGGCACCATGAGGACGCTGGAACTTTCCTTTGGGATGGAAGCGGTTTCAGAGGCAAATGGAGAGGGCCGTCGAAGCAATCTAGAGGGGGAGGGGCATTGCGTGCTATCCTATCAACACAGAACTATTTTAAAAAGATTTATTTGCAATATTTAAAAAAATACAGTTTATAAATATTACTCACATGGTTTATATATACATCATGAAACGTAGCGATCAGTGGTTGATGTTTACTGAACTGTTTTTTCTATATCTCTAATATAATTATAAGCGTTTATATATTTACACTCACTTCCCGTTATCGTGTTTTATATAATCAAAATTTGCATAAAAATTACGTGATTATTCTGATATTTCTAGCACGCTACTATGACAACATAGGGCAGAACTTCGGATCTCCTTTTCTTATTATTTGCTAAAAATTTGGAAACTGATACAAGGGGAGAATCTGTATTTAATACCAAGCAAATGTTGTTTTCAAGCGAAAGAAATTCCTATTCGCTAAAAGTAGCTAATTTACAGTCAAGAAGAGAAATATATACATCCTGAAACGTAGCCATCGGTGGTTGATGTTTACCGAAACGTTTTTCCTATATCTCTAATATAATTGTAAGCTTTTATATATTTATACTCACTTCCTGTTAACGTAATCATGCTGACATTTCTGGCACGCTACTAAATCTTTTCGCTATGATATCAGTTTCTATTTATAATTACATTCAGAGATGGGCAGTAATCAAATTTCATTCCATTTATAGCTAATTTTAATGATTATCTCAATATTTATAAGAATATTCAGAAATTTATTATTATGCCTAACCGATTCCAATACTAACATTTATTACGTAGATCGGCAAATCGTCCATATGGAGTTAAATTATTTTGGAAATTTATTAAATATTAAAACGTGAATTCCTTACTGATCAATAAGGAATTCGTGTTTTGATTTTTAATATTTACGGAATGTAATTAGTTTTAGATTTTTGTAATTGATCTATATACGTAATGTATTCTATAGCCTGAAGATGATAATGTCTGAAAGATGTCGAAACGTTGTTAGTGCGAAGAAAGCAATTAAACAAAAATGTGAAAATTTCTGTTTTAAATAAGCAAACTAAAAAAAGGGGTCATTGAGTTATTAAATAAATTATTTATTAATTTTGTTTAATAATAATCCAATTGATATAATAGACTGAAATATTGTTTTTGAACAGTGATGATTTTATAGATATTTTATGTATGTATGTATAAAATCGTAACACCGCATTCTACTCATCACTAATGCATAAAAATCTTTCATTTCTAGTTATGTGATTGCTACTTATCTAGCAGACAAATATGGTAAAAATGAAGAATTCTATCCAAAATCTATAAGAGAGAGGTCAATAGTAGATCAACGTCTCTACTTTGACGCAGTGGTCCTCTCTACGATTCTTCGGGAATATTTAGTTTCGTACGAGTCTAGTGTAAGTAATTTCTTGGTAAATAAATAAAACTAGTGGCACTTCAACAGCATGCACTTTCTGGCGACATTGTTAATGGTTAAGTACTATTGTAATATGCAAATTTCTGTCTGACACTTCAACTACCATTTTAAAAATTCTTAAAGAAATTCATATTTTAAAAAAATCAAAGGTTTAAACGAAAACAATATTCTGCTTTTGAATTCAATGAACTCACGTCGCGCGATGCGTATTTTAGTCGAATGAAATTATTAATTTATATCAATGCGAACCAACGGCTGCCGTCATGATAACCTTCTGATATCAAGAGTTAATGGTTTCATAATATAAAAGTAATATTTCTTTTCAAGATTCGAATCACAGCTCCCATGCTCTTTTCATATTTCCTTATATTAACATCAGAAATACAAAATTTAAATCCCCTATTTACATACAGCTTTTTTCTGTTACGTCACATAAAGGTTTTACTGTTTTATTCACCAAATAAATCTAAATCTACATATCCTAGTTGTCTATACCACTTTCTTTCACAAGAAACACTTCCAGAAGCACCCCCCCCCCAACAATGAGAGAGTATTCTGTAAACTGCGCATCGCGCAGTATCGCAACGTTCCTATTGTTAATTGCAACTTAACTACAAACTAATTACCAGAATAGCCAGATAGCTGAAAAGTGAATCTCAAATTATCGTACATTAGCCATCGAGCGCTCGCGAGATTTAGTCACATGCGCGATCGCGGGCGGTGCTTTTGCCGTCGACGATCATCTTTTTTTTCTTACCCAAGGTTTGTGTACTATGTGTTGCAGTGCGCAAATTTTGCGTTTTACTGCTATGTGTAACTGGTTGGTGTGGATTCGTGTCGGACCTAAGTCAATAGCCAAGTCGGCTTTTGTGTTGTACTACGCCCTTAGAATATCAGAGGGGAGTGGTTGTCTTCTTTGCCTTATTGTAAGGACGTGTCGAGCTAACTGTTTAAGCGTTGCCGAAGCTTCGTCGGCTTGATAGGCTTCTTTAAACGAAAGCCGTCTCAAGCATTGGGTGAAGGACTCGATATTAAGTTCTTTCGTCAGTACTTTCAACTGTTTCCGAAACGGAGGGCGTGCTATGAGCTATAGAACTTTGTTGTGTACTAGCTCAAGTGTATCCTTGTACTTCTGTGCTGTAGTCTACCACGTTGCCGCAGCGTAGGTGGCCACAAACCGGCAACACGTTCTATAGAGTGACAAGCGAAGTTCCAAAAGGAGTGTAGGTTCCCTCAAAAGGGGTTGTAATAGTCGAACTCTTTTTAGTAAATATTATTCGAATTCACCTGACATGTAAATGCCATATCAACCTTCGATTAAAAGTGACGCCTAAGTAGGTTGCCTTAGGCGCCCATGTTAGTTTTTGTGTGCCAAGTGTTATTTGTTTTGGTGGTGTAAAACGTTTGGCATATTTGTGTTTGGGGTTGGTGTAACAGATGGCCTGCGACTTTTCCGCTGAAAAAGTCAAGTGGTTTTGTTCCGTCCACTTCAGCGTCAGGTTTATCTGTTTTTGAAGTATTTTGAGTTTGTGGTCTAGGTTTATTCCTCTTGCTAGGGCGGCTATGTCATCAGCATATCAAGGAAGAACCGTATTCGTGATACATGCGGGATGTCATTGACATACAACGAGAACAGTAGCGGAGAGAGGACGGAGCCCTTGGGACTTTAAGTAAAATGTAATTAAAATAAAAAGCGGCCACACCGCGCGCGTGTTGATTTATAAGATAAATATTTCTGATTTTAGCTTCGGACAAAGTCTGTTATTATTAGCTTTTAAAAAAGAACATGTACAATTTTTTGAAAAGACGAAAAAACACTTGATATTAATGAAATATATACGGGTTTCACACCAACTATGGGCCACAACATAAATTGAATGAATGATATGAAAAATAATTTTAATTTTAATTATAATTTACTATTGAAACTGACAATATTAATTCTATTTTTATTTTCTCGCTTTTTTTACTTTTCACTCAATTTGTTTTCTCAAAGTATTGATGTATTTCTTTTTAAGCAGTCCGCAAAGCTTAATAGAAATTTCGCAACAACGCCGCATCGATATTTGAGAAGCTAATTGTTGTCGAACGTCGAGAGGGGGACTGTGATAAGATTCAGCTCTTTTGTTTAGTCGAGCTAGTGGTGGTGTAACTCCTAGGCCGAGAGCCACTTGAATGTCGAAGCATAAATTCTCCTCAGAATACCCTGTGAGGTATGTTGTTTATCATTTAATATCATCTGATCCCTAAAACAATTACTGCGTATTGAATAAAAGAAAAAAAGGGAAAAAAATCTTCAATAATTTAAAGAAAACTATGCCCGCTAAACGTTTTCCGAGCCTGTACTAATTTAAATTTCTTTTATTCAGAAATTAGAGCCGAAAGGCTAAATTGTTTCTTATCGCCTCGAGGGAAAGAGATTTTACTTTTATTTAAAGTATTTTTGGGGGGGGGGGTTCACCAAGGTCGATCTAATACTATCTTTTAAGTTTTATTTTCCTGCGCTTCCTTTGAGGTGCTGTCAATATTTAAAAAGGCGCTAATAATTTAACTTCACAATAGAACGACCGACGCCATTATTCCTCGTTCATCGTGTATAAAGTATGCATGTTAGAAGTCGGTGATGAATAACGCACTCTCACGCGTTATCTTACGACGAAAGGCAATTCACAAGTGAGCAGCCCGAATTTTCGTAATTATTTTGATGTCAATGGCATATATTATATTTTAGGAATTGGTATTATTAGCCTGATTTTGACAACGCTGCACTGGCAACAGTGCATTGCTGGCTTTTTGGTTGAATTGGTCGTTTTCAAATAATAGCTAAACTGTTAGTAGCGTGGAAAAATCAATATTTCAATATTACCTTGCTGTTTCCAATAGGTATGTGCGAGAACGTATGTGCTTTTGTAGCACCACTAGTTTAATTGTCAATTATTATGCTGCGGATGATTAGTGTTAGTTGATTTTTACTTTTTCCTATACATACGTAACGTAGAGAAACTTATATAATGCTGCGGAAAGAACTTACTTTAAAATTTGTGGTTTATTACAGGGAGAACCCAGACATTTTCAAAATTTTTCACAAACTGCTCCGATTTTTTCTTTAAATTTCTTGTAAGAATATAGTGAAATACACTTAGGTGGCATAGGCCCGATTTTAATGGTTAACTCTAAATTTTCAAAAGTTTGAATTTTTGGGTGTCGTGCTACAAATACAAAATCAAAGATAAAGATTCTTCTTTGGAATGAAATTTGTCGTCCAAAATTTATTTCATTACGATCATGTACATTTTTTGAAAATTTTAGTAGTTTTCGCGCAATATTTCGTGCAATATGTGCAATTTTAAATAATAACAAAAACAAAAACCGCTCCAATTTTCTTCTTTAACCTGATAGTAATAGTGATAAAGGTACTCTTAAGATATGAGCGCCATATTTCTCTATTTCGTTTTTTCTTCAAAAATCACTGAAATGTAAATTTGACTTTTTTCATTAGCAACGATTTGTTCACATTATTGAATTTATGAGTACATGTGCTTTAAATAATGTCATATAAGGATTCTCGAAATCCAAAAGTTGTCCGTGAAAACGAACTAACAATTCCGCATTTTCAGAAACACTCAATCGCCATTTTCTAAAAAACCGGCTCCATATTTTTTCTGAAACCTTTTCGTCCATTTAGTGCTAATTGCTCTATTTGAGATATATTTTGCTGTATAATTTTGTTTTTACAAAATCACAAACAAACACACACACGTTTACAGACAATATAAATGTTTCACGCCGTAATAACCACAATTCCCACGATTTGTAAACACTATTGAATTTGTGAGTGGAGGAGCTTGAAATTACTTTCAATCATGTTTTTCGAAAACTCATACATTTTCTGTGAAAAAGATATTCAAATTCGCATTTATAGTAACGCTTAAACGCAATTTTCTTACAAATGTCTCAATTTTGTACAGCTCTATTTATACCCGACTGGCCCCGGGATCGCACCACAGAAAGCTAGTATGCTCTCCATTAGGGACCTAAGGGGCTCGACTAGCATAGATACTGAGAGGATTCAATCAAAGCTAAACGTTGAGGAAGAGCGACTGGCGATCGACGAATGAGAGAAATGGACAGGAGAAAAAATAATTTTTATCTTCAGAGAGAGGGCAAAGTGGACTAGAATTTAATGCTGCTTCAATATCCTCAAAACGTTTAGCAATTGGAGGTCGTATCTATCATACATAGTATCTCGTTTGGACGTTGAAAATATGTGTTGTTATCTGAGTGAATCATCGGCAGTGTGCCACGCCTTGGTTGATAATGATGTGAACAAATCAATATACAGCGCGCCAGGAAAGTGTCTCCGCAGTGGCACATTGGCGCTTGCTACAAAAATTATGTTGGTAGAAGCGTGTAACAAAAGAAATCGTAAATACCCAATAATGTGCAGGTAGATGACTCCCGCTATTCTTAATAGGCGTCGCTGAGGAAGAGTAGGGAGCACGGGAAAAGCTTCCAATGCCAAATGCAGCCAATGACGCTTCGGTAGATTTTTACGAGTTTGACATGTATACATTGTATTTATTCATATGATTCTATTCTATCATAAGAAATTAAAGCTGTAGATGGCAATAAATAGCTAAAATAAATGTTAATTTACTTAAATATACGAATAACATTGACGTAAGGTTACCAGACGCTGTAGTTGAAAAAATGTGCACTTTGTTTATAATGACTTCTTTACAATAGCAAATTAAATTAATAAGGCAGATTTATTCTTAAGAATTCCTCCTCTGTTGCAATATTCCTTGTTCAAAGATAAGAATAAGACACAATTATTATTCTTGTAGTTAGAAACACTTTCAACCCTAATATATTTTCTCAAATACATTGTATTTCTTGTAA